GGGGTGGGGGGGGGGGGGGGGGGGGGGGTGCACTCATACCAAGGTACTCAGCATTTTCAAGAATGCCACAAGTGTTTGAACATTTGTATGATCTTCTCCAGCAAACTTCACAAAGGTCCATAGAGCATCATTGCCAGACAGCAGCTCGGGTTCCTTCTGAAGAGAAAAGCATCAAGGTGATTTCGTGAACCGGGATACAAAAAACGCACTGTATTTTATATGCAATACAAAATAAAAAGTTCAGAATATTGCTTAACAAACAATTTCAGAATATTGAAAATTAAATCAAGCAAATTTGAATATCAAATATTGCAAATTTATATTGACACTTCTATGATCTAGTAAGAGCAGAGAAAACAGAAAGTAATCAAGATATTTTAGAATTTTGAAATCTCTCATTCGTTTTATTGCAAACCCTGAGAAATGAGAAAAATTACAGAAGACGGGAATGTGCAGAAATGTCTCAAATCCTGTACCTGGTACAGCATGAACCAGGGCAACTACAATTCACAAAAATATGCTGTATTAACTATAATACTAGACAGATCATGATTCCAATAGTTAGAGATCCATTTGATCTCTCTCTTGAAGAATAAGAGCAAAACCATATTCAATCCGATGAAGACCATCGAAAGAAGATTCCAGTGACTTGGATATACTCTAAATGATACGAAAACAAACCAAGAATATTGCAAATGTGGCTAGAATAAAAATCATTGGCTGGAGGAATATATGACAATTATTATCATGAATGCTATGCAATCCAATACAATTACAAGGCAAGTTGAACACTTCCAGAATATGGCACCATTTCCATTACATCAGCTGGAGCATAGAAAATGATAATATCAAAACAATTCATGCTTGTTCTCACAAACAACTTTCTCTCATTAGATTCTGGCCACTTCATGCTTCAAAGACAATCTTCAACTGATCCTCAAATTAACTTCTTTCACATAATTCATATATCAAAAGTTAAATGGAGCATTCACCACACATGCTAACTGCCAATTTGACATTACGAATAGGAAAAGCAAGGCATTCTGACCTGATAAATTTCACTCACAAACTCCAAAAGAGAGACAAAAGGTTGACGTGCACTTTCAGTAGATTGTTGAGGAGGTCCACTACCATCCGTTGTCTGATTATGACTGGCAGTAGTGCGGTATTGATTAAGAATTGTCATAGCCTTCTCCTTTGCTTCTTTTACCTGTCAGATAGTATTATAGAGACACATCAAATATATTCTCAGGACGAATAGATCTCATTATGCGTACTACATCAGTCTTTGACTAAAATTTTAATTCATTTATAAAGAATCGACATACAAATCAAATTTACCAATTTGTGAGTCCCTGGTGCAAAATGTTTATCGAATACAATTCCCAAGCATACTCCTGCTTTACAAAGTGTATCTAATTTACAGACCTTTTGCACATACCTTAACGAGCAGACTCAACCCTATCTCAAAAACTAAACCAGCTACAAATGTGAAGAATCTTAGCGTCTGTTTGAAATCCATTTTCTTTCCAAAAATTCATTCTTCTACAGTAGATTTTTCAAATCTCGTGGGACCAATGCAGACAATCTATCAATTTCATGTCAGACTATATTCATTTAATTATTGTTTCCAAATTGCCCCTCCATTGTGTTAGGTGTAACAGTATTCACGTGAATTAAATGATGAGGGTTTTTGTGGAAATTTACTTGTACAGAATGAGGGCAAAACCGGAAGATGATTCAACGGGAATATGGGATTAATTGGTTGTCTGACACACTTTTTGACCTTGGGCAATAATTGGTTGTCTTACACTCTTTTTGTGGAAATTTACTGTAGTAGAATGAATTTTGCACCCAAAAAAACGGGTGTCAAACATAGGCTTAGTTGTTTAACTGTCCTTCACGCTTTAGAAGAGCCGAGATCAGTCCTCTTAAAGAAGCTTGAGACACTAACAGCCTAAAACTTTCTATTTTATGCAAAAGGAAATGGAGAAATGCAATCAAAAACAACTATATGGGATAAAGGTTCCCAACTAATACTGATCACCAAAAATAGTGGCATTTGAAAATATGCCAAAAATACACAGCCATTTCAGGAGTAGAATTCAATAATAAACTAGGATTGTGTTGGTGGAATTTCTTGTAATTGATTGTTTTCCTCCACATAATTAAATTTTTAATTAGGGAAATTTTTAATTTTGTTAGTTTGGTAGCTTTCCTTTTCAGCTGAGATTTTTGGAGTTATAAATAGGAGCAAGGGTCTTCAGTTATGTAGACTCTAGATTTAAAATTGGCCCCTCCCTCCCTCTTTTATCCCTCTTCGGCTCTTCCCCAGTCTCTCTTTCCCTCGTTCTGCACCGCAGTCTCTCCAATACCTACTGAAGTTTCAAATTAAAGAATCTTCTGGTATCGAAAGAATGTTGTCTGTAGATATGTACGATAAATAAGATTTCATTGACAAACCAATATAATTAGTGACATGTTTGTAGCTGATTGTACAGCCTTAACAAAAGACAGGCTAGTTTTAAGCTGGCCTTACTCACAAATAAACCATGAAATGATCAAGTCACGACAACCTTTCCAGACTGACCCAGGTTACATTCAGGATAACAATGTTTCCAGACCCACCTATTGCACAAGTTATTTTCTTTATACTTTTTGGTGTCCAAGTCTATGGTGCTCAGACTTGGAAACGGGCATTGGGTACGTATCTAAGCGTCGGATCTTTTATTTTCTAAAATGTGAGATACGGGGAGATGGTTAAAAAGAGGGTACGTAAGTACGTCCTTCAAACTTTAATTTTGTTTTTCAAATTTTATTTTTACTTTGATATTGGAGTATTTTTTGAATTAAAAATGATGAATTGAAAAAAAAATTAAAAGAAAATGATTAATTGTATTATTTGAATATTTTATTAAACTAAAATATGTGTGGTGTAAAAACAATTACGTTATTAGCCCACTCATATCCATATTAAAAATGGCCCAAGCTCCAATTAAACCCACCCATATCCATATTATTAAGCTCGCCCATATCCATATTATTAGCCCAATAAAAATGGCCCAGACTCCAATTAAACCCAAATCTCCTCTTGCATTCCCTTCTTCTTCTTCACTATTTTAGGGTTCCAAGTGAACATATCCAGACAGCCAGCAGATTTATTTTGGATCAAGGACTGCCAGCGCCAACCTGCTATTTCTTTACAGGCATCTTCCATCTGCAGCCAAACTGTTGATCCCAACAATATGGCACGTATTGCTGCTGACTCTGTGGAAAAACTTTGCCCTTCATCGTAAAAGGATTTCTTGTCGGGTCCAATTGAAACATAAAGAATCCGACTCGTATTCCGTACCCGTACCCGTGTCGTATCGACACTGGTACTTCAGCCAAAATGAAGAGTCCGAGCATCACAGGTCTAAGTAACTATGTTCCTTGTACTTAAAAATACAGAGAAGAAAATTGATTATGGTTTCTTATTCCTTAGCATGAATTGGCAAAAGTAAACAACACTGTGTATTTTAATGGACCAATCATAAAAAATGTAACTTTATATTTTATACACCAAAAAGGATCAAAATTAGACAAAGTTCGATATCATTTAGATTTACATCAATTTTAGGGCGACAGATGAGCCAAATCAAGCAGCAGATTATTCGAGCAGCCCAAACCGTATGTTATGGCCCAGTTAGTTGATCCGTGCAAATTTATTTTGTTAAGATAACGTAGGGTTGTAATTCGTATCAATAAATTATTTGTGTATCAAAAAGTGTACATAGAAGACATAACATCAGGTGGTCATGAATGAGCCCTAACGAACGAAGGAATATAAACATGACAAAATCCAACTAGAGCTAAACATCAGGTGTTCATGAATGCAGCCACAGCACCACTTAACTATATCAGACCGACTTAAAGGGAACAAAATCCACCAATAGAATCAGAAATCCTACAGGTGCCTTTTCCATTATCTCGGAGCACATTTATTTAGCCTCAGATTGGCAAAAATTATAAATTATTTATATATGATCAAACTTCACTTTCAACGCACATTCCAATGAACTCACAAGTATTATTCACTTATTTACCACTCGATTCTACCTATTTATAAATTAAACCGTTCATAAATTCTTTCCAAATGGATGCTTAGATTGCGATGACAAAGAAAGAGTGTATATACAACCATTATGTGAATAACCCAAAGAAAGAGTGGATGCTTAGATTATGATGACAAAGAAAGAGTGTATATACAACCATTATGTGAATAACTCAAATCATCGAGATTGAGGAAAAGCAAGCTGAAATTTTGTCTAAAATGTTTGAGCAATTAAGCATGTGTAGCACAACAACCGGCCCATACATTTCCAGCATCATAAATTGAAAGTCATTTAATAGTTGCACATCAAACGGCATTTTTTTTCTTTAACTCAGCGAAGTCACAAAGAAGACATCACACATCACTGTAAGATAACAAATAAGCCTTCTCATGTAATGAATAACAATGCCCACTAGCCATATAAACCAACCAGTAGTTTTAACATGAACAGGTAGTATATCACTAGATTGGTGCGAGATAATTCATATTAGATGGATTATGGTGGCACCATTCAAAATTGATCCAACGAAACAGAAACGAAAAGAAGTTTGTTCTTTACTGCTAGGAGTTTTGTAAAGAAAACATCCTTACTGGTGACCTTTTTGAAGTCCTACTCTAAAAACTCAGTTCTGAAGATTTGATAATCATATTATTACAACAAAAAGATAAGCTCAACCAACCTTGTCTCTAGCAAGTGGATGAGAAAGAAAGCATGTGATTTGCTTGTGAAGATAGGCATTGTACATGTAGATCATATCTTCATCATCGTTCTGCACAAGAAACAATAGAATTGAAACAGTCCACAAGCACAAGAAGATACATATATTGCAACATTTAGCAGAAAAATCACGTCAAACTGAATTCATAATATATTTATACAGGACATCAGAACTAAATATACAAATTCTTTATTAGGAAATTTTTTTTTTTTTTTGGTAAGTAATCGCGTAATTTATAGATTAAAATCAAAAGATAATACACAAGGAGTGCATTATCAGTTTAAACAAGATAGAAACGATAAAAAATTCGGCAACCCTTCTATCGGACTAATGGTTACAGCCTTAAACCAACTATACAAAGTCAAGTAAAACAATTCCCTAAATTGCTCTGTAATCCGTATTTGGTCTTCAAAGCAATC